AACTAACAGCTTAAAGTTTATATGCTTAAAGCATTAGATCAGGATAGTGTACTGATAGTGCAATTAAAAAACGCATAAAATATACATTGTGGGGGAAAGTTCCAGCATAGTTTGCACTTTTGCCATGTAGTTTTGGTTAATCAGCAGATCTGTAATTTGGAATTAGATGTGAAGCATGTAAGTTTGTGATTTTCATCCAAGCTAGTTTTAGTCAGCACATCAAAAATGGAAATTAAGGGCATATGTTCGGAGTTAGGATTTTGAAGCAGTCAGAATTTATCTTGCTCAGATTCATTTAATCAAACTGCCCGCATTTTCAGATATAAGCAGGCCATGAAAAGCATTTTATTACCAGTTATAGCAGCCGTGACTAGTACTTTGTTTTCTTAACGTATGTTGGCCAAATATGATACAAATGATTTTTCAAACTGACCACCTATCAAATAAATCATCACTTGTTTGCCAACGATGTTTTATTTTAGAAAGCTTCAAATTATAACTTTCTATTCACAGGAAGCCAATAAACCAACGAATTCATCTCTTTTAAACCGCTGTGGTGAATTTGTCTTTAGTACTATGTACATGGCACTAAGTATCCCCGAATTGACTCTGAAAATATATGTGTCGCTTTTAGGATATATTCTTTAAATCAGGAAATTTTCGATGAGAAACGCAACCATATTCGCACTGGTAAGCAGTGGTACTGGAAAACATTTTACAACTTGGCAAAGCCATTTAACAAAATTATGCGGTTCTTAAGATGATCTAATTTGCTCCATTATTTGTCCATTTTTCGTTTTGGATTCCGAGGTTTTCTAAATGTAAGGATGGTTTAAGCAGATCACTCAATCAAAATTAACGTTTCCTCAATGGCTCTCGCGACGGCAAAAAATATTGTGCAAGAGCCTCAATTAAAGCCGCTTTTATCGTGTTTGGGTTTATTACTTTTATTTTCTACTAAGAAATAAAGTTTCTCAGTTTTCACAACATCATTGGCAGTCTAAATTTTTTAATTACGTTCCTTGGTGGATCACGTAGGTCCGTACGCTGAACATGTAAGTCATCTACAAATGCCGTTGACTTAAACGATATAGGTAATTCGTTTGCCTCTATTTACAATTATCTCCTGTGTTGTTCAAAGATGTGGACAGAGAACAAACATTTGTAATATGTTACAATTTTGCTTTCCGTAAATAATCAATGATGACATCTGTTTACATTTTGCAATCGACCAACTTTTTTAACAACGACTGTTTTCACAGCGAGTGGGAAAACACGGGATACAAAATTTTTCCAACTTTTTCAAACATAAATGTATAATTATGCATTCACAACTCCGTGTATTGTCTTTCTACCTTTGTGATGTGTAGAATGTGGGTACAGGATTAACAGATTGTGCTATGCTACTCAACGTCGCCTGCCCATTTGTAATTTTGCGGCTGACAGTGTTTGCTGGCCAATATTGAATTTTGTTTTAAAATATTGCAACAGAACAACCCTAATTTTAGAGTACATTGTTATTTACTGTGGGTTAATACTATTACGGACACACAAGTACGCTTTCTGTATTATTTCAAGGTTCGACTGTTGTTCTGTGGTTCAGTCATTTAGAGAGCATTGTGTTCCATCGTACATACTATATTTATTTGAATCAGACGCATAGCCATTCGAGCTGCGCGTAAATTTAAACAGAAAATTGCATTTTGTCAGCAACTTTTGATGAGTAATTCGACTGAAGGATATTCATTTCACATTGCGGTTTTTGCTAATGTTAACGTAACGGTGCAAACATCGGACCCTATTGCCATCTCTTCAGTCTAGCATTAAAGTCGTTCTGCATGATTAAGGCGGTTCCATAGCTTTCACCTGTTGCGCTATGGACCTGTTATATATGCACGTGCGTGTATGTGTGTTTGCGAACCCGTGCACTTGCGCAAATATAGAAAAAGCGCAGTCTGACATGATCGCACCAAGGCTGGCTAAGTATTACTAGTCTACGGCTGCACTAACCGCCTGAAATGAGCGACGAACGTTGAGCTGGTGCATAATCGAGGCAGCGACGCTGCAAGCGAACAGCATTGGCGCAGGAAGAGATCCCTACAAGCCGTTTGGAAGACAAGTTGCTGCAAACGCAGTAGCTGCTAAAAGGGAACGATGTCCACCTCGGTGTATCTACAGTTTTCAGCAACCTCAGAAGGATAAAATTTACTCTTAACTAATGCCTCTGAGAGCTATGCAGCGACAACAGTGCCCGATAATCGCAAACCAGGTGGCATACACTTCGGACTTCTCTATACGACTGTATGACAACGAGATGCGCTTTCTCACAGACGACAGTAAGTCCTATCACCATTTGCGGCATATAAAATCACGAGTAAGAAGAGGGACGCTCACAAACTTAGTCTTGCTCACATTCAGAGGCCGCGTGGTAACTGTGATCGTGAAGACGAACAACTGTGGCATCGTTCATGCATAGCTCAACAACAACGGTCCGGCGATGGTGCAAATTCCTCGATAATCGTCGAAGAATTTGGTACGTTAATCTGCTGAGTGGAAAGGAACGGAGTATGACCGATCATGAACAAAACCAACACCCGCATGCCGGACCATCCAAGGAGGATCCTAGGTTCGTCTTCTCAGTTGAACTTTTTCTTCACATTTGTCTTACCAGCTAAACTCAGTAAAATGCATATCCCCGAAGGTGAAAGTTTTGGCGGGACTTATTCTGACCAATCTGACACCTGATCAGATGATAATTGCAGTGATTTCAAAAAGCTTTGGAATAGTAACGCAACAGAAATGCACGAATTACTTGCTCATGATGAAGTTGAACCGGAAAGGTCGAAGTAGAACTTCCCTCTGTCAGATAGTTGTCCCTAAAAGTAAACATTTTATCTTGTTAATATGAGATTTTCGTATTAAATTGAACGTCTTCCAAGCCAAACTTCGCGACTAACATGCAGTTTTGATGCGACAGAAAAGTTAGTTGATAGAAAGAATTTTAGGTCTTTCGGCCTGCGGATTCTAGCTTTGTTTCTGATTAGCCATACATCGTTCAACTGCAAGTTGTCCGACGAAACTCGGGAGATTTGAAATATTGTACGTACCGTTGATGGTGATTAATGACTTAACACCAATGAGTAATATGAGCCGCGAGCTGCTTTAATCACTGGAAACTGCGACGTATTAAGGTGAACTTGACATTTCATTGTGAAGTGGACATATTGTAAAACATGGGTGTTAGCCCGAATGATGCGCATCGATACGCCGGTGTTAGTTGCTTTGGGCGAAGAGGGCATGGTACATATTAGTAAATTTCACGTATATGAACTTTTTCATCAAGCAGCAAGACGTTTGCTAAATGTTTATTTAATCATAAAATATCATTACGAACCCTGTCCGTTGCTATTGCATATAATTAATATTCGTGCTTCAGCTGAGAGTGTAGATTGTGCTACTGCCATCTGATGTTAAGTAACTGTGCGAAAATCCTTCAGGTAGTTAACCAAAGTCCCTTAATGATATTAAGAAGTGGTTACTTAGTCGTAGAAATACCGATGAATATCACAATCCCCAAGCCGGTACCATCAAATTTGTTGAAGACAGATCCTCCTTTATACTACTTTTAGTAGTGTGAATTTAACGATTATATGGCAATAAGACATGAATTTGGTTCGTTTCTTTCAGCGTTTATGAACGCAACGGACAGATGTGAAAGCTGATTTCCTTGGGCATCCCGCTCATCTCTACATATTCTCATCATGTTCATCAGGAAACGAATTGCGGGATTAAGTGCTCGATAAATTTCCTCCTAAGACAGTTGATTTAGATATGGTATTGCTGTCAACAAAATGGTAGAATCAATTGTACATATCTCACTTGGTTGCCAAGTTGGTGTTGTGCTGTTATCGAAAGCACGTACATTCTTTAGGAGGTGAGAAAGTTGGTGGCGTATGTTGCAATAGGCGTCTGTTTATGAGTATGATAGGAAAGCGAAAGTTTGATTTTGGCGGTTATTATTTATACGTTTCCTTAGAAATGCATGCGAGCTGATGCAAATGGTAACTAACGGACAAACTGTCCTTGACTACAGTAACAACAATTTATTGTGGCATGCTCTGTTAAGTCCACGTTGTTTATTCAACGAACAACAAAATTTGCGAAGTGCGCAGCGTTATATTCATTCACCTAAGACAATGCAACGGCACTGTCTAACTGTAAAACCGATTATTCCAGCGCTTTTGTGACCAAATAAACTTAATTATAGAGACATGTTCTTTTACATAGCACATGTCACCATGTGATGCTCATTGTCGTACCCGAGTTCATTAGGTTGTCAATATTGCGCACTGATTATCTACAAAGTTATTCAGTTTGTAGGCTCCTTAAAGACACAACATTAATGACTTACATAATAACAAGTTAAATAAATGTTACCTGGTTTACAATGTCGCCTATTGCGCTATACTATAGGAATTCATTTATTCCTGTACAAGGGCTTACCACTTATCCGTAATCCCGTATTTGGTGCTTTTTTGCAACCGGACTTTAGTCATTATGGAGCTTACAAGCAAATTTATATGGTAACAATATAGCTGTCTTAGTTGCTTATTAACTTCTTCGTGTATTCTTTTACAGTAATGTAGGTGTGTGTAGCAGCTGAATCTCTCTTATTTGAATAAAATATTGAATTTGGAAACGCAGACAGGTTTACACTGAACCTGTGAAGAAGTTTAGGATTATGAAATTTCCGCCATGTAACGAATTCAATGTTCTAGCTACTTCATGGCTGGTACAGATCAGTATTACACTTGACCAGCAAAATATTGAAGCGCACATCTATGCTTCTGGACTCTGAATCTTGTGTTAGTTTTCTTTTAACATTTAAATGAATTCTATTTCAGTACTTCTCTAGTCAGCTCAATACTAGACAAAACTGTTCTACAGGTACATTTTGTCTTTGATCTACTGCCTATCTTTTGCATTTACGAACAGAAATCATGGCATCTACGCTACGCTTGGCTAGTTTCGGTCAATCCGCAACAGAGGACGTAAGCAGTGATAAAGTAGGAAGAAAGGGGAAGTCAAATTTCGTTAGTTTCAAACCAGAACCCCTGTTAGATGAAATGCAACACCAACTTGAAGCTGCGATAGGGGGGGCCGAATGCTCCTCCGAACGATTCGCGAGTACCAGTAAGCAAACGATGCAACTGTCGACTCATCTAACTAATGATCCCATGTCAAGTGGAGAGAAGGATGTGAAAGTAATTCTTACGGAGAACAGAGAATTGCAGTCCCTCAATGATTCATGTAAACGAGGTGAGTGGCTATCCATGAAATGCAATCGAATGCTTTTTAAACGCCCTTAGCAATTACTTGACGGAAAGCATACGCGACTAGCATATTGCGGTAAATCAAAAAAAAAGAAAATGGAACTAAGTCCTACTATGCTTAGTTGCTCAGTTTTACGTATATGTGTGCATAGATTATCACCACTAATCCATGGAGATTACATTTTAATTGAACTCTTGACACATTACAGGAAAAAGCGTTTGCTATTTTTCTGAGCTGTTTTGTACGAAGGGGCACGTTCAGCATTCGGACATCGTTTCCAAATATGTAGGTTTGTGCCAAGATCGTATGTTGATATTACGTTGTGTTCTGTTGCGTTTAGTGGATGTAACAAATGTGTGAAATCATTTTGTAATGAATCTATGTAGTTAGACTTAGCCAAACAGCCACAAAACATCCATAAAAGCGCTAGACGGGCATCTTGTCCTAATGGGTCACGTCCAGTAGCACGCACCCGCCAGAAACCTGCCGGATTCAAATTCTCTACCTATATTTTTGCTAGCCAGTGAATTATGCCACTGCGTTATTAATGACGACAACGGACCATCATGATTTATATTTAAGTGTGATATAGCGCGGCTCATCCTTTATTATCATTCATGTGTTTAACATGCCGATGCACTTTCAATGGACATTTATTCCTACTTTTCTCTGCTGTGTTATATGAATGTGAGGAAATGCTCGCCTACAATAAGTGACAAAAATATATGCGTGGAGGTAAGGCGCACAATCGCAAGTCATAAATTGTTCAGTAAAAATCAATTAACAAAGTCTAATCATGAATAAAGAGAATTTATTTTAAAATTAAAGTCCACAAAGTATTGTATCCATAAAGGAGCATTTATAAAAGAGTGCCACAAGGGGGAATATTACAAGTTGAATGGTGTAGTTTTACATTCATCAAATCTAGACTCAGTCAGACGTCCCAAAGTTAGTGTGTTTACGATTAGAGTATATATTAATTAAAATAGTTTTAGTGTTAGATAGTCACATTTCGCAGCAAGCCCTTTGCCGTACAAAGTGAATTCGTTTTACTTGCAAACCGCTGATAAAAAGTATAGATTTTGAGTAAAACGTTTGCAACATTGTTATCAATTTTATATAGACAAGTGGTATATAGGCTAGATTTATCCAGGCAAGTACTTCGAATATGCCTTCGTCAGGAGCATTAATTATTTTCAATCAGTATAATTCTTTTTAATTATTGGAAACGCGGATAATATATTGCAATTTATTAAACCCAATCACGTCGTGCGTCTATTGTGCGACTACTAAATAACAACCAACGACAAATATTGGTGTCAAGGAAAACTATAGCTTTTGTCTCAAACCACGCAACATGGGCTTTTAAAGATATTAATGAGATTAAGGTTGTAGATAACTATACCATGATCTAAAAAAGTAACAGCTAAGGCACTTTATTCTCTTTTATTTGTACAAATCTGCTAGTAGAATGGGTATAAACAGAGTGCCCACGCCTCCTAATCGCAGCATTGCATCCCGTATTTGTTTTCACTCATCAGAAGAACTAGTGAAATTTCATTTTCACCCTGGTTTCATTTGGTTATCTCCATGCATCGGGTTAGATTGAAAAAAACTTCGTATCTGAACCTGTTGAGTTCAGACAATACCAAATTGATGGGGAGTGTAATGTTGCAAACAGATGAATATATAGCACCTGTTCGACTGAAATGCGGTCGCAGTGATTGAAATATTCGCAGTTTGCAGTCAATGCTGAAAATGAACTTCACATCCCGTTCCAAAAAACGCTTTTCAAGTGAGCGTCCATTAAGCTGAAATGTTTGTCGAATTGCTTAAAATGGGGGTACTGGTTCCTGATGTAAAATTGCAGCGCAGCAACATCAACCGGTTTAAGCACTTTGCTATCCAGAGCTCTAAAATAATAAAAACGTTTATGTCATGAACATAGAATGCGTTTAGAAAAGTTTGCAACTGAAATATGTGGTCTACTAATCTTCGAGTTCCTGCTACATCAACACACTTGCTAATACTGAAAGATGTATTGTGACAATGTAAGTTATGCCATCGACCAATGATGATGATTTGGCGGAGTCCGTATCCGGATTTACCTGTGACTGTGACCTCCATGGGGCAGTCACAGGACGCCTGCGCCTACAGAGGGCCATGGGTGGCTTGTGCTGCACCACCCACAGTTCCACCCACATACCCCCATTGACCAATGTAGATTTACATACAGATTACATACAAAGGAAATCCAACGGCTTATCCTGTAACGCTCAAGCCAGAGGAAATAAAACAGCCTTTTTAAGACTTAGTCATTATGCCTGAGAAAACTGCGATGAATTCTCAGAGTGGCGGCACGGTAAGGACGTTGAAAATTTATGCGGGATACGCAGCATCAACAACACATAGTTCATGGGTTCAGTTTGGTAGTTCATCAATAAACAAATAAATAAATATTCGCGCACCGCTTCACAATTTAACGCAAACAGCTATAGACTTTGTCGAGGCATTATGTAGAGGCTATATGTCACATTTGCTATACAAATGGAGTAACAAATTCAAATAAAATATTGGTTACCCATGTTGTATGAGGACAACTTTCGTTGCTTATCTAATCGATGGTATAGTTTTTGAAAGTTAGTTTTAGTGTACACTTGCAGTTTCGTTGTTAACTGCCTTGTAGATTTATCAAGAAGTAATTTAAACCATCGCGGACTTATGAAATGTTCACAGAAAAGCTCATCCTTTGCTGTAGGCGAGTCACACAAGTGTAGATCGAGCAGCCCCGGTGCAACACAAATCAATAGGCCGTATAACAGCCCAGCGAGCTCCAACAGGACAACTTATCGCAGTTCACGTGATCTAAGATCGGAATCCAGTGAGTGGCAATGTTCGCGTCTTAGTAAATAAATGAGGTTATTAGATTACATGCCAATTCATTATGTGCTTTATTTTGTATATTAGTAAAGCAATGCTTATATCCCGGCTTAAATTAAATCACCGTGTGATAAAATGTAAAACATTAAATCCACTCCTAACATGTTTGGTTATGTTACTGGATATATTAGTGAACAACAAAGTATAAATCCTGCAGATTACTGGATAAAAGAAGATTAGGAATAATACTAATAATTGACGATTGACGAAATAAAAGTGAATAGGATGATTAGGGCCGTTAAACGTACGTTGGTGAGGTGTACATGAATGTTCCCTTGACTAAACAATATGAGGCGGAAACTTATTTAAAGAATACATTGAAAACAAACATTCAATGACAACATTGTGGGGCTTGACAACATGCTCTTATAGCTGTAATGTGGATCCCATTTCGTATGTACTTGATTGTTGCCTTTAACCTAAGTACAAGAGCATAACATATGAAGAAGTTTTACTTTTGCAATGTGATGTGAAACTTTGGGTACCATCGCAGTCCTACATACAACATGAGCCATCCAGCTTTATGAGAGTTGGGACAATTTTCAGTGTATGCAAGCACTTTTCCTGGAACACTTTACTTGAAAGTCTGGAATTCAGCGGAATTAAAGTCAACTATAAACACATTACTGCGGCTGAAATATAAAATCTAAGATGACAGCGGAGTAGAATGTTATGGAACTGCTTATATTTAGTATATCGAGATTTCTGCATTTCTAGAAATAAGTATTTTCTAAGGATTATAATTCTTTTATTTAAAAGAGTAAACCCAGCAAACATAGTACACTATGTTAAGAAATGCACTTATTATAAACTAAAAAATTTTTCGATTTTGAATATAATTTTCAGCTTAATTTTCCGGATTCATTGTAACATTTATTTCTTAAATCTAAGCACATCGACTTACACGCTGTTCTGATGCAGATAAAGTAATTTCAAGAAGACGAGTTCCGCTTTCAAACAGAATCAAGAGCTTCTCGGTGGATGATAAACAGGACCTTGATATCGATGCTTCTACCTGCAGATCTACTTTATACCCAGATGAGGAAAATAGTTGCAAATTTTCAAGCAGGCGATCCGTACCTTCTGTAAGTCCGAACCAAATGCATCCATGGAGAGCAGGAAAGGAATTAGAAGAACATAACATACGACAAAGCGAACAGACACAGACTCGCGGTAAGTTGAAATATATATCTAGTTGAAAGTTAAAGGATGCAAGTTAACATCATACTAAAATAACGTATTAAAATATTTTGGCATGGTCTTGTATATTTGTACTGTTTTGTTGGTCGCACTTGTCGAAAGAGCGGTTAGAACCAATAAAATTATCAATTTCTATGCCATCTCATTTATAATTTTCTAATGTGCGTGCAATACTGCTACCAATGGCTAGGAAATATCTAAATTATTTTAACAAGTTAGATATATAATAGCCCCTTTGGCAATTAAATCCGGTTTACTACTGACAAAATATTCCTTGGGAAAGAACCCGAAACGGTTATTTTGCTTAATAAAACTGGACAACACCAACACACTTTTGCAGAATTGATGAGCGAGAGACCGCTATCAGTGCCTTCTTTAATTAGTATTAATGATATGCTTTATCTCTGCACAACTAGCAGTCCTCTAATGTGGGGAAAGCTAAAATATCTGGTAATTTAATGGGCAACTGCAACGAGTCTATATGGAATAGGTTGTGACACCGCTAGAAGTGCTTTTTCTCCTGAGTTCAGTCAAAACAACGAATTTCGTCCGAACTCTGTCTTGTTGGTACGGTGGTTAACATATAGAACATATAGCACATAGAAGTTATCAGAGCCGAAAACATATCGTTAGATATAAATTGAACATGTGAATGGCCGCATATTTCTAAGAATTTTGTCGATATTCTTGTCATTATGCTTCAACGTCATTGCCTCGACTAGAATCCCATGCTGGACTAACGCGGCTGGCTTTCATAGGCTGCTAAGTAGTTCATTATCCTTTGCGAAATTATAGTTAAAGTATATCTCTTGGCTATGACTGGTTAACAGTTAAATACCAAAAACCGATTATGCACTCCATTTCCTCAGGTTAACTCTAGCTGAAGTGATGGATGTTCAAGTATACAGCTCATATCTCAAAAGCTTTGTTTCGGTATTTTTCTTGTATTCGGCTAATTTATGTTTGACATCAGAGTAGAGAATCACTTAGCCATGTTTAAGAAACTGATACATATGTATCGACCATCAAGCCATAATACAAAGCAGTTGAATGTCACCATGATCGCACGCAAACAAAGCTCATCGTCTCACCAGGGAAAGATGCTCGAGAATTTGCTGTCGGGTTTTGATTACACTGTGTTTCGTTTACACAAGCATTCCTGCGCAAGGTCTACATGTCCTATGGAGCATACGCTTGCGAAAGTTTACCTACAGAGGATATGACCTTTAAGAAACATAATATGATTATTCTAGTTAAAATTGTTTGCGTTCATGTGCTTATCTGTTTTATCACAAAGTCGTAGTGAATAAACTTTAAAAAATTTATACTTTAAATATTTTATTTATAATAGTTCACGCTTGATTTCAAGATGGCAGGCATGATAAACAAAGACCGATTAGTCACCATTACTTCAAAAAATATATGCGTTATTTAATATGATAAAAAGAACTTAAGAAAGTCCTTTCTTACTCGGGTTAGGTCTGCGTATAGACTAAGGTGTAGTTAACATAGTACGGATTACAACGCAATAGCAGTTATAGCTGCTAATTCGCCAATCCTAACAAACTGAAGCTTTTAAAATGGGCCGTGAGTAAATTGTTTTATTCTAGCTAGTCAAACACAAAAGATCCATCATCGATCTGTCATCAGGGATGAAGATTGTCGTGAATTGGTCTTGAGCAAATAGATGCAAATAAGGGGTATCTCCGCTTATAAGCTTAAACAACGCAAGCGAAGTTAAATTACGCCTGGTAATGAAAATAAAACTAAAATAGATAAAAGAAGGGCTAATGTTTAACTGTCTTAAGGTTTAGCTCTGAGAAACCTAAAAGCCATGTAAGGGTTGCAAATGGATCTTAACGATTAGAAAGCTGCGTCAAGGTGGATTAAAGCACAAATTGTTACATCAGTCAAAACTACTTATATAAATATCGCCATGAATGTCCTTACAACAATAAATTAAATCAAGGGAATGAATTCTGTTCCGGCACCTGAGCATTAAGCATGTAATGTGAATCTGCATAGAATGCCATCACAAATAAAGCAAAAGCGATGAAACCGAGAAAATTGAAATAACAACAATGAATACATTTTTATTAATAAACTAGACAAATTTTGTATCTAGTCAACACAAACATGCTAACATGTGGATATCATTTGTCGCAGACAATGCCCCTAAAAGATAAAACGCGTATGTATAAATCAGGCGGAGAGCAGAGTGTAACTCGGATCATAAGTAAAGGCTTCCCGCAAGGATTGTGTAATGCAAATGAAAAATGTAGGAAGGAGAAGACAAATACTCCGGTTTGACCATTGCCGAGTCGACATAGGGAGCAATGGTTTATGACGGGTAAATAAGCAAGTATTTTAGAAATCCCGTCTGATAGTTGGAGAAGAACTTACTTGCAATTTACACGGCGTCCTTAATAGATTGGCCAAGATAAATGACTCATCAAGGTCTGCAGTAGCAAGGGCGTGCATATTCCGGCCTGGAGTGTTACTGGATTAAGACAACCTCCACTGTTTGTTCTGCAGTAATACCATCTTGTCATGTGATTTATTAGTTATTCTAAATATATCAGTACATGCTAAGCCTGTTTTTGAATCTCATGCACTGCTCGCAAGTTCAAAAACAAAGCCTGTATACGGGTTAAGAAGGAAAAGTTTACATGCTCCGTTGGGTTATCTGGGGTTACAGAAAAATCATTAATGAAAAATTCCGTTGGCACTGTAACTACCTGAATAATTGAGTTATGTTTCATAATGAAGTAATATTATACTCAATGTATTTTACAGCTCCACAGGCGGATCTTAACAAACCTAACGTAATTACAGAGGGCAGGAAGGAGAGATGGTAAGGGGCTTAGTGCTTAACCCAAACGACATTTGACTACAGGTTGCGTGAATAAAGAAACGATCGATTCGGAGAGATCGCTCCGCTTGTGAGACATATAATTGGAAAAATATTCTATGGCACTCCAGTTGACCGTACTGTTGAGTATTAGTAAATGTAGAACACATGAGTTAGATAGTATAGGGTCAAGTACGCTGCAATCCAGTCGCCTTAAAAACGGCGATGCCGTCTGCTGTATACTCACAAAAGTTCCAACCTCAGCACTTCTAGTAGATTATGCATTTCAATGATGTACCTGGATGTCCGACTTTGACAGTGCTGCAGTGAAGGTAGGTCTTGTTTCAGCCATAGGTATCAGGTTTAAACCGTATTCGAAAAGATTTGATCCCACACAAGAAGCACCTATCGATATATAGCGATGTATATTCGAACGAGCTCTCCTCACAACAGACCGACGTGTTGGTTGCCGTTCTCCAATGCCATTTCGGTTTCCCGATAACATCGCAAGTTATTCTGAGCCCGCACTTCAAGACGGAGTGCAGCGGAGGAAGGCTGTAGTACTTGCGTTACATGTCTTTGGAACTACATATTCTGATATCGTAGGGAAATACAACGTATTTGCTAATGTTGAACCGCAGCACAGTTGGGTTAACCACTGATGTAGCATAGCAAGGTTATATTGTTGCTAATTCCGACTTATAATCTCCTGAATCCTGCATTACATCTTGATGTCATCAGCAAACATCAGTGAAGTTAAAGCGATTGGATATTCAAAGTTAATAATAAATTCCAAACAAACTTGCCTTAGAACAGTCTTAAGGCACACAACACTGGGCTTGTCTTTGGTCAGAGAAGCAGCTCCGAAATCCACCTCCAAATGTTGCTGAAGGGGCATTTTGGCGATTCAACTCGAGAGAAGGTCACTGATGCGGTAAAATTGGGGATTTGAAAGGAAAGCCCGATAATTTAAAAGATGGTATACTTGTGGCAAATATAAGAGTATCACGCCATCTCCAAAGTCAGATAAATAGATCCAGCTACCGCGCTCAATATGAAAATTCCTGACGCACGATCACTACAGATGGAAATTGTGCTGCGCGGAAGCAATAATATTTGCAGGTTTCCGCTGGCACACGAACACACAGTCAACAATGGACTCCGTGAACTTAGAGAAACAGAAGAAGAGAAATTGAGTAGTATTTCGAGGGCTCAGATTTGTTTTGGCCTCTGTGAAGGAGTACTTTTGCTAATTTTCTTCATTTCATAAACGTGGTTCCATTCTACTGTAGGAACTCAACCAGCATATCTGCCAGTTGCCTTGCTGCTGCTTCCGCGCGAATTCTATAGACACCTCGGCAAGTTGTCATTAATGTAATTAATTAAATGACAGCATCAGTTCCAGCTGCGATGTATGGGAGTCCGGGTAGTGTAGTAAGAAAGCTGGAATATTGACTGAAATCCATTAAAATGCAGCAGCACAATGCGTCCGCAACGCGTTTGTTGTTCTGTGGCCGTACTTATTGAACCAACTTCCATCTGAAGAGAAGGAAACCGTGCCACATCTAATGAATGCCGTTGATATAATCTTACAGTGCTTTATGGTTAGCGCCAAAGCTTGACCATCTAGCATTCGAAAGGAAAATGTTCTTTTGACCTTTCGATCAGCAGTAATGCGTGGCCAGCTTAAACTGAACTTCTTTCACACTAGTTTTGTTTCAGTTATAAAAGATGGTGGAAAGTATGTTAGAGGATTTTAAGATATGTATTAACCCATAACGTTCCTTTTTAATTTTGAAGTTTTAGACTTAGTTGATAAAGAAAGCGGTCAACAGTTTAACTTGTATCTTTACATTATGCAGCATCTGGCGCAGTGGAGTGGTAAATCTGCAAAGGTTATTTCGTTTGTTTAGCCTATTACGCATTTTGACAAAATTTGGCTTCAGACGTTTTCGGAAAGTCTGAGGCATTTTAATTCCTGAATGACATACGAGGGAGGGTTCTTTTGATACATTTTCCATCTGCCCCAAACAACCAAGGTCACCTTACACAGGCACGCCGAAGTGGCGCTCTTGAGATGCGCGCTGTAAAATTGGGGGCAAATTGCTATTTGTGAGTACTC